GCGGGCACGCGGCCGACTCAGTGAGAAGATTATTGTTGCATGCAAGTAAAGGTTTCTTAATAGCCCGACTAAGAGTGGTCAGTGAGGGGATGTGGATCAATGAGGGATGTGACTTTGGGATTGAGAGGGGATGTGGACCTTTACGCGTCCCTTCGCCGAAAGCCGCGGAAGACAAAATGGTGGGTGATAAAACAAAGAGGGAGGGCGAAGATGAGAGAAGGGAGGGGGAGGGAGGGGGGGGCGAAGAAGAGGAAGGCAGACACAGAGATAGCGAGAGACAGAGAGGAGAAGAGAGGAGAGGAAAAAAAATAATTAGGAGAACGGGAGATGAAGAGAGGAAACGGGAATGAATGAGTAGGGAATGATAGAGGGTTGTCCAACGGAGAGAATGCTGGGAGAATGTGGAGGAAACGTTCCAGGGTAGTGAGTTCAGAGAAAAAAATTGACGTAGAGATGGTTGACTGGAGGAGAGATGGAGGCGGAATCCATTCAAACAAACCCTAACACTTTTCCTTCTCAGCTCTTTGCGATTGTGCCTGTTCAGAACCTTCAGCAGCAGGTCAGAAATCCTCCTCCTCCTCTATCGGGGTTGCTGAATATCCTTGCAGTCTCTCTTTGCCCCCGAGACCACGGGCTGGGGAACTTTCGATGGTTCTTCATATGCTCTGCCTTGAAAGCAACTAACAACGACCAGGATGCAGCGGCTGGTGGGTTCAGGACACCTACTCCTGCAGGTCGACCCGTGTTCCCTTCCTGCCGCTCCCTCTCCCTGACTCTTCCTGCTGTAGCTCTCCCCCCTGCAATGGAGCTGAGACTGGATGGGGATATGCCCAGGACGCCAGCCCTGGCTGCCCCCTCAAGACCAAGGGGTGAGGAGAGGGGGAGGAGAAGGGGTATTACTGAATGGCATGCTCCAGCGCTGCTGTCTTCCTCTAAGCGAAGTTGGATAACATCGAGCGACGTGAAGCTCTAGATGCAAATTTTTTTCATCAAAACTCAGCAAGTTTGTCAATTTTTCTATCCAAGACCCTTCTCTATCTTGTTCTTCTCGTCAATCTTATCCTTTCGAATTTTTCATGTCCCTCGTGCCATCTTCCCATGTGATCAGTTGAAAAAGCAACGGGACCAAACTAAAGAGAAGGAGATGACATCTTCTTGGTATCTTGACATGAGAGTGTTAGTCTGCAGACCAACTCAAGTCGTCATTCACCTTGTTCGAGTTTGTCGTAGATCATGAACAGCCTCTGCTGCAATCTCACCACTCTGACGACAAAGTAACTCACACAATCAGCATGTTTAGGTGAAAATAGCATGTACATGATGTAAATAAGCATGTGCAGCAACATGTATATCAAAACTTAGATCACAGGACGTACATCACAGCAAGCACATCACTGCAAGCACAACACGGCAGCGCACGCAGACACGTATTTCAGTTTCGCTCACCTCTCCGTAAACTTGGACACCTCTCCTCGCCTCTCAGCGAGTTCACTTCGCATCTCCTTCTCGTCCGGTAGCTTCTGAGACGACTGCTGCTCGGCCTGCTGGCTCGCTGCCTTCCTCGCTGCGCGCCAGAACGAGCCGTTGGGGAAGAGGTCGATCTTGTCGTTGTGCAGGTGAGCTGCAGCAGCTTGGATGGGCAGGCTGAAGCCCATGTCATCCTCGTTCAGGAGCTTGCGGAACAGGTAGAGGTAGTTCCACACGTACTTGCCTCCCTCCCTCTTCTCCCACTCTCCGGGAAAGTCGTGGAACTTGAACTCCTCGGTCCCCGAGATGAAGCAGCGGGACTTGAGGTAGCTCGCCGTCGAGTTCCTCGCCTTCCTGATCTTGCGGAAGGCGTCGATGATCTGGCCGGTGACGACGGGCTGGAGGAGGAAGGACCAGAAGATGATGGAGGAGGTGATGAAGAGAGTCCGGGCCGCGTCCCACAAGTTGCTGTAGAGGATGAGGGCAGGGAAGGACCAGGCGCTGCCTGACCCGATGACTGTTCTCAGATCTCCTCCGAAGGAGTCGATGACGAACTTTGACACGCACTGGAAGGGCGAGTGACAGCTCTCCCGCGCCTGAACCGCGATATTGGACAGGTAGGTGTATCCCAGGAAGCCGTAGACGGCAAGGAAGATCAGCCCCACGGCGAAGGAGCGGAGCAGCGCCGGCCCTCCCACCACGATGGACCTTGTGACCATCTTGCCTCCTGGCTGCTGGAAGTAGTCGAGCATGCAGAAGACCTGGAACAAGGGGGAGGAGATGACGCCGAGGAGCGACATGGTCGTCAGCAACGTCACGTACCACAGCTTGTAGCTGTGCTTCAGCATGCGCAGAGGTAGCCATGCTCCTGTCGACTCCTTCTTGACCCGCGGAAGGGCAGGCATGCTCATGAGGTACTTGCGGCCGTTGAAACGGCTGACCTGACTGGACGTTGACTCTTCCTGGTGCTCTTTCTTCTTCTTCCTCTGCTTCCTCTTCTCCTCCTCCAAGAACGACATCCACTCGACGGGGAACTCCAGCACGAGGTAGGACAGAGCTTGCACGAGAGTGAGAGCGAGGTGCAGGCAGCACAGCATCAACGTCACTTGCTTGCCCTCGGGCCACAGCTGCCACTCCTCCAAGCTGGTCCAGCGGCTGCTCAGGTGGAGGCGATACTTGAGGGAGAGGTCGGACTGCTTGATGACGTAGCTCATGGTTGTCGCCTGCCCCGGGTTGGAGGTCAGCTGGGCGTAGGGGTAGGGGGCGTCGCTGTAGCCAGCTGGAGGTTTGCTGGAGTAGAATCTGCCGCCTGCGAGGACAGCGTGCGAGTTGGGGTCAATGGGGATGCCGTAGATGACGAGGAGTAGGCAGCTGATAAGGATGGAGAGGAAGAGAGTTGACTTGTTGACCCAGCGCTGGAGGTAGAGGAACTGATCCATGTTGTGCTTGCTGCCGAAGACCTCAAACCAGAGGATCTTGTTGTTCAAGGAGCGGAGGCCTGTCATGAGCAGAGAGAACTTGGTGTAGCGCTCGTTGGTGGGGATGGAGCCGATCATTTCGAGCATGTTGTCCTGGAGGTGCGAGTTGTGCGACATCTTCCTCAGCCGCGGGTCAAGGATGAACAAGATCCTCTCAAGGCGCACTTGACCGCTGCTGCCCTCCTTCCTCTCCAGCTCCACCTCAGACGTGTGCTTGCGGAGGTGCTTGAAGGTCTGCGGCGCCTCCTGCTCGAATCGGTTGAGGAGTTTGACGCTCTCCTGCGAGACGTCGAGGTCTTTGAAGTAGGTGAGGAAGTGGAACTGGCGGAACAACTCCATGCGGAGGAGGAGGGAGAAGGAGGGGGAGAGCGTGAGCCCAGTCGTCTTCATCTTTCGCTTCTTGAGCTTGGAGAAGAAAGAGGAGGAAGTCTTGCTGTCGAACCTCAGCAGTGAACCGATCTCGATCAGGTTGTCGACTATCATTCCCCACTCGAAGCATTTGTACATCACTCGAGCTGCAGTGAGATCCCAGGACGTTTCGAGGATCGCGTTCAAGCTCTCGATGACTGCGATGCGAAGACACGAGTGAAGGTCTTGAAGGTTCACCCTCGTCTCCTCCTCCTCCTTCTCTGCCTTCTTCTTCTTGTACTTCACGGGCGGTTGGTAGTGATCGTACAGACACGCGTCGTAGGAAACCCCATCGTCAGTGATCAGCTTCAGCAGGAAGATTCTGTTGCAAGTGATGAAGAAGTTGCTTCTGCACAAGAGTTTCAAGTTGACCGCGTTGGGTCCCTTCACCATCTCGGAGATCGTCTCCACCAGCTGGAGGCTCAGACTGTGCAGGTCCACTTCGAGATTCTCCAGCTTGACCTCGAGGAACGGCTGAGCTGCTTCCAGCAGGTCAACGCAGTCCTGCAGCAGGTCGACAGACTGCTCGGCATGCGCTTGCTCGCACATGATGAGCTGCATCTGCACCATCGGGCCCACACAGAGCATGTGCAGCAGGCGAGCAAAGAGCGTTGCCTGCCGGCAGGTCCTGCTGAAGACTTTGACCTTGGACTGCTTCATGGCGCTGTCAAGCAGGGACTTGTAGCCCTCCACCAGCGAGATCGTCGACCTGAGCTGCACGTGCAGGCAGCCCAAGAGCTTGTTCTCGCGGTCCTGCAGCAGGAAGTGATGTACGCTCTCCTGGCACCTTCTGTTGTTGTGGAGGAGGAGGAGGAGAATCTTTACAGCTGATGTCTGCACGTCGAGCCCTCCCTTGGGGATGAGCAGCAGGCAGGAGGTGATAAGGCCGCAGGCGTCGAGCTTGTTCTGAATCCAAGAGATGACAAGAGGATGCGAGGGGTAGCACCTGCCGGGAGGTCAGAGCAGCGATCGGACGGCAAGGGAATGAAACAACTTACTTGGACAAGAGCTCGTCCTTGTCGAAGATCTTGCATCGTTCTCGTAGGAAGGGGAGAGGGGGAGCCTCTTCGCTCTTCTCATTCACCAGGTACATGCTCATTCTGAGAGTGTCTAACATCTCTCGGAGTTTTTCTTCTTCCTCCTCTGTCTCCCCATCCCTCTCCTTCTTCTCTGCTCTTCGGCAGACGGAGATCAGGTAGTGCTCTAGAGGAAGTGAGGCGGACGAGGTGCTGGAGTCAAACTTGTGGTAGGCGATGAGGGCGGAGAGGTTGAGGCTCTCGAGCTCCCTGTCCACCAGCTTGACAAACGTCATGCTGAAAGCTCTCCAGCTGGCGCGGAGGCTGAGCTGGGCGACGTTGTAATGATCTGAACAGGTTCTGCTCTCGTCTGCTTGGCAAGTCTCGACCGTCTCGACGGCCTGCGGCTCATCACGTCCAGCAGCTTCGAGGAAGAGTTTGACGCGCTTCTCGCACGCGTCAACGAGCTGTCGCCTCCTCTCAACGACTCGCTGCGAGCTGTGGATGTCAATCCTGCCGTACCATCCCGCCCTCTTTATCTCCCTGATGGCTTGCAGCACAGCCTCCGCCCTCACCACCAGCCCCTCCACCAAGTCGGCGACCGACACGACTGAGTAATGAGAGAAACACAAGGAGAGTAGAGGGACTAGCGTTTCGAACAGACAGTCAACCTGGTCCACAATCTCACCTTCTCCCATCATCCTCCAAGACTGAGTCAAGAACTTTGCTTGCAGCCTCTTCACTATCTTCATGATCGCATCGACAACTTCCAAGCTTTCTGTATCTTTGCAGGTCCAACTCTCCGTCATTGATGTCTCAGCATGGGAGATTGTGTCTCGAGTCTGAATTTCCTTCTTCATGTAAATTGCCTTCATCAACCGCGCAAGCAGCATATTCCTTGCATTCATCTCCTCCCTCCCCTTCCTCTCCTCCTTCTCCTCCTTCTTCCCGTTTGTACCTCCATTCATACCCCCGTTGGTACCCCCGTTCACCTCTACCTCCTCTACCTCCTCTCTCCCCTTCTTGCCGTTCATACCACCATTATTCTTCAACTCCGTCATTTCCTCTTCCCCCTCGCTAACCCATTCCTCGCTCCTGTTCAGCTCCTCCTCTCTTCCCTCCTTCAGCCCGCGCATGATAAAACTCCACGGCAGGAGTTTCTTCATATCGAACATCCATTGCATCTGAACACAATCGCTGATGGTCGCAAACAGATCGCAGAGAGCTGTTGCTGCCTCCTCCTCCTCCTCCTCCTTTCCTTCTTTCTCCTTCTTCCCGTTCCTGCTGCCCCATACCGTCCTGGCTGTGAAGGAGGAGAGGATCACTCTGACAAGCTCGAACTTTCTCTGCAGGAGGTTGGCGATACGGAAAACGTTCTCGAGGAAGGGCTCGTCATTCAGTTTGCAAATCCTCTTGAGCAGCAGGCAGCAATGCGCCACGTTCTCATGGATAAACATCTGGTCCACTCGCTCCACCCACTCCCTGCTGCTCCTCTCCATGATCCCAAAGTTCCCCTCCGCCACCCGCGGAAGTAGCTGGGCGGCTGCTGGGCATCGCACGCCGAAGAAGCTCCAGAAGATGCTGATGTGGCAGAGGAGGAAACTCTGAAGCTGCTGGTTGGAGCGGCACATCATGCCCAGCAGGTCCATGACGGTGCTGATCAGGTCGGCCTCCTCCCTCCTCCCTCCTCGGAACGACGGCCACAGCAGCTTGAGCAGCATGACAAAGCTCCTCTCCACCCGTAGCTCACAGAGAATCCTCTGAGCCTCCTGGTACATGTTGGAATCCAGCTGGTGAGCGTCGCTGAGGGAGGTCAGGAGCTGGACGAGCTGGCGGGTGAGGGACGCGAGCTCGAGCATGGCGTCTTGCACCTCCTTCAGCTCCCAGTCCATCATGGCAGTCTCAAGGAAGAAAGTGAGTCGGCTGATGCTCCTGGCGATCTTGTGGAGCTCGAAGAAGGAGGACTTGAGATCGTCTCTAGCCACGAGGTTGAGGCGCTTGAGGGCGAGCATGAGGCTCGAGGGCTGGTGGTTGACTGCCAGGATGAGCGAGAGAGTCTTGTCGACAACCTCTAGGTTGGCGCAGGTGAGGAGAGAGAAGACGGTGGAGAGGAAAGGGCTCTCCTCGTGAGACGAGATCCAGTCGATCTTGGTCCATGAGAGCTCATGCAACAGCAGCGAGTTGGTCTTCATCTCTGACAGAAAGCCAGCCGTCTCCTCCTCCTCCTCCCATGGGTTCAACTGGGACCAGAGCTGGTGATCCGACAGGTAGTCCTCTATCGTCAAGCGATTATCTCCCTCTTCCTCCTCTCGCTTTGTTGACGTCATCTCCTCCTCTTCTTCTGTCTTGCTCTCAACCACTTCATGTATTTCTGCTGCATCCATCTTCCCCAGTTTCTCCCTCCTCTCAGCTGACGCCCTACTCTTCTCCACGAGCTCCTCCAACGTCGAGCACTGGAAGCGATCAAAAAGCGACTTGTGCCAGAAGTTGACCATGGCCTCAGTCTTGAACCTGAGGTCAATTCGGAGAGCATCTTGAAAGAAATCCACGATCTTGAGGATCAATTCGAACAATCTCGCTTGTGTCTTCATCTCCCTTTTCGTTTCAACCTTGCTCTCCTTGGCCTTCTCCTTCTCCTTCTCCTTCTCCTTCTCCTTCTCCCTTTTTGCCTTCTTTTCCTTGTCCTTAATTTTTGAATTGTCTGACGTTCTTCCGGCGATATCGGACTTCTTGTCTTGGCTTGCTGCTCTGACCCCGTGCAGTTTCTCGTCACTGAGGAAGCGGAGGAGGTGAAATACAGCAGCACAGAGCGCGGAGAGCTCGGGGAAGGAGGGGCTGCCCCGCCAGCTCTCCTGCTCTCGATCGCTGAACTCTCCCAGGTGGAGGAGGCGGCTGGCGGCATCCATGATGGAGGAGAGGAACATCAAGTCTGCGTCTCCTTCGATGCTCTCCCTCGAGCTCGACGCCGCCTCCAGCTCCCGCAAACAGCATTTTCTCAGCTCGTATAAGGGTCCACTGGCCCTTGCTGGCCTTCTGCTGGCCTCACATGGCGGGGGCCAAGTCTGGGTCATCCTCTGCGAGCGATCGAAGAGCTGCGGGTCAGGGTCGACGTGCAGGGCGAGCAGGAGGGAGCACGCGTGCGACCGCAGCGACTTTGGCAGCCTCTGGTTGTTCAGCAGCTCAACGAGCTGAGAGAAGGAGAAGCCCAGCTGATGGGGAAGAGCTCGGAGTTTGCGGATGGAGATAGAGTTGGAGCCGAAGCACACGTTGTCGAGAAGCTTCATCATCGCAAGCTGAAAGAGCATCAGCCTGACGCCTGGCACCTCCCGCGCCTGCTTGCTGACTGAAGAAAGATCGACGATGTTATGCTGGCTGCACGTGAGGAGCACTGATACTGAGAGGTTGCCGACCCGGTCGAAGAGGATGAGGTCGGAGTCAGTGACGAACATATCGCAGAAAATTTTCTCATCCTGCAGCAGCAGATTCATCACGTTGTTCTGGTTCTGCACCACGGGAAGGTCGTCAGACTTGCACAAGCTTGAGAGGAACGTCAGGATCGAGTCGTCGCGCTTGAGGATGAGGTCGGGCAGGAGCTTATAGATCATCTCCTGACCCAGCAGCTTGAGCGATTTGTTGGATCGGTTGCACACGTTGAGGAATAGGAGCAGCGATCCGACTCTCCCTGGAAAGTGATCCAGCATCATCGGCGCAAACTCCGCTACCCTCTCCTGGTTCGTGGCGTTCTTGTGGCACAACACGCCCAGCTGAAGGTACAAGTTCCGAGCGGCTGCGTGTAACGCAGGCGAGTTTGTGCGGAGTTGCTCCAAGGGAAAGTTCAAGTTCGACAGAATGGCATCAAGCAGCTGGCATATCAGCTGGAGGAGACCGAGATCGTCACAGATCCTCTGCTTCTGCAAGAGGTCGTTGCTGACGTGGTTTGACAGGTGGGCGTGTTGACCGAGATGAAGATCGAGAGCCTCCATGAGTCGCCGCAGATGCCGCAAGAAGGTCGGCGAGTCCCTGGCGCCACGGAAGACGCTCTCGTCCATGCCCCGCAGTCGCTGCAGATGCTTCACCGTGACCTCCAACTTGCGCTGGTAGGACACCAAGGTATCCGCTACAAGGCACTGGTGATGCGGCACCACCTCAATGATGGCGAGGTCGTTGATGTCTGGAGCCTCGTGTCGTCGTAACAAGGCTTGATGGAGAGCAAACGTTGTCTTCCTTCTGAACACATCCAGTCGCTTCAAGGACAACCAGCTCACCTCTAGGTTGTCTTCCCTCTTGAGGAGAAGCCAGCTCAAGCCTCCATCTGCTACTCTACTTCCGCTCCTCCTCCTCCTCTGCTCCACTGCTCCCCTCAGCCTCCAGATAATCTCGAAGTCCTTGAGCTTCTTGGTCAGGACGAGCTTGTCCCCATTCGCCCCTAGCAGCATATCGCTCTGAACATGGTGGAGCAGAAACCCCGTCGGCTCCTCCACGTCTTCAGCACATCCCATCAGGTTATACGGGACGATGCGCCAGATCGCAGAGATGCAGACTTCACCGGAGGCGGAGGGAGCTCCTTCCTGCTGCTTCCTCCACCTCGCGCTCTTAGCTGACTCGTCGCCGATCAACAGCATCTTGTCTCTTCTCCGGTAAAAGTACACGCAGTCCAGCCCCCTCACATTCTTCACGTTCACCTCGAACATCAGCTCCTTCTCTGCGTCATGAGAAGCGCTTACGTTCATTCCTCTCACCACCTTGACCTGAAACACTGACAGAGTATTGGCACCGAACAGTTCGGGCCCTTCGGGGGCAGTGAAACCGTCCTGATCCGAGCTCTCAACGGCGTCAAGAGAGACATTGAGGAACATGGAGTTGTACTCCACGTTCTCCAAGATGATCATGTCCTGATTGCATACCAGCTCCCCCTCTACTTTGGTCCCCATGGCGGGAAGAATCCTCCAACTCGATAGAACATTTCTGCGAGCGAGCTCTACCTTCATCGCGATGTGCTCCTTGCTTGCGAGGTCCGTCTTGAGCGAGAGGTAGAACTTGGTAGAAGCATGTCTGAGTTGGATCAGCGAGCCAAACCGTATCGCAGTTGCTGATCGAGAAACAGGACGAGCACTCTGCCGCGTTCCCTGCTGCATTTTGTCCTCAAAGTGGTCAGGCTTGGCTGACTCAGCTACCGCAAGCTCATCGTCGTCATGTTGGACTATCTCGAATGCGCAAGAGAAGGTAGAGGAGGGATTGTAGTCGGGAAATTGAGCTGGACAACTCAAGACCTCAAGGCTTACAAGATCAGCTTTCACATATTCCCCTCGATCTGACGCCTCTAGGAAGATCAGATCGCCGGTCACGAGAAACCTTCTGGTTTCCTCCTCCTGCATCTGCAACAAGCAACGAAGGTTCAGAACAAGGTGCCTGATGCTATCTGGCTGCATCTTGTCAGAGAAATGACTCACAGTCTTGTCGCTAGATCCAGTTCGTCTGACAAGCATGCACTGTTCCAATCATCCTACTTTCTTCCCTGTGACTCATTCCTCTCAGGACCTGTCCTTGCTTTTATCACCCTTCCCCTCTTTAAATGATATACGTCAAGTCTTGTCCTCTATCAGCAACACATGTCATTCCTCATTCTCACTCATTCCCTCCATCTTCTAACAGCGCTTTCCTCTTGCCCCCCGCCCCCCCCTTCCCAAAACAATTATCTCCTTATCCTCCTTCCCACATTCCCAGGCGCTCTTTGTAAATTATTTTCGTTCACTCTCACTCGAGGTAGATTCTCTGGCTCTATTTCGATTCTCTGACTCTATTTCGACCTTCACTTCGCTTCTACTTTCCAATCCTTCTCACTTCCTTGTTCACTTTCTCCTCCCCTCCTCCCATTCTTGACTCAAGTCAAACATCTTTTGTCCTCCTCCTATCTTCCCCGAGCTTTTCATCTGTCTCTCCTTGCCTTCTCCTTCTCCTCTCGCTCCCGATCCCCTTCCTCTCCACTCGCTCTCTCCCTCCGTAAAAGCATTTTGCCCGAAAGGAACTCGTTCACCACCCACCCATTTCCTAATTCCCACACCCCCTCCCTCATATCCCATCGAGCACACACCCCTTCTTTTGACTCACAGATTCTAGTACCCGTGCAGGTCAAGACCACCCACCCCCTTGATTTCTATTCCCCACATTCTGGGGAGCAGGTCTCTATTACCGAATACTTCAAATTTGAGTAATAATTCACTCAATTTTGACTCACGGTACTTCAGGCCGAAATGTGGAATTCAGAGCTGCGATCACCGACGAACATCAGAGGAAGAGGAGAGGAGGAAGAGGAGAGGAGGAAGACGAGGAGGGGTAGGGTTATCTGAGTAGCAGCAGGAGGAGGGGCGGGGTTATCTGAGTGTTTGTGTGGTAGCAGGAGGAGGATCTTAGTAGCAGGAGGAGGAGGGGCAGGGTTATCTGAGTGTTTGTGTGGTAGCAGGAGGAGGATCTTAGTAGCAGGAGGAGGAGGGGCAGGGATATCTTAGTAGCAGGAGGGCAAGGGAACAGAAGGGAGTTAAAGAGACAGAAAGCTCGCCTTGCGCAAGGCCACGTTCGTGTTTGATTTCTTATTGCTTACATGCCTTGCAGCCGCTTTGATGTTTTGAGACGTTGGAGCCCCATGAGCCTGCTGTCGATCGTGGATGGTCTAGAGAGAGCTTCCTCCAGCCTGTCAGCGTTGCGAGATCATTGCAAGGATGGCAAGACCTCCTCGACGTCATTTTCTTGCTTTGCAGATGCTCTAGAAGTTTTGCTTCAATGTGTTGAGCTGGGTCTGAGCAAGACTGTGACAGACTCATGTGAACGAACACACACCAATCAAGTCATTGTCTCCTTGGAGAAGAGAATCTCTTGTTTGCAACAGGATTACAACCACCGCAAACAAATGGTTTGTGTCTTGTTGGAGGACGCAAAACAGGCAAAGACAGACCTTTCTGAGCTCGTAGCAACCTTCAATGTCAAACGGCTCGAAGATCCTATTCAAAGAGCTTCCAACCTCGATGAATCTTTTGTATCTTCCCATCCAACGCAACGCAAAATAAACAGAGTTAGGTCGAGAGAAAGCATGACGGAAGAGGATGATAGCGACTGTAGCGATTACACCATCTCAAGTCATCTTGACGAACTGGCAGACTTGCTTGACCCGCAACTTGTTAAGAGGTGAACACAGTCCAGAGTAGGAGCAGATGATTGTACTGATGGACTTGGCAGGATATCGTCTCCCTGGAGAACCCCTGATAGTCGAGAAGCTAAGGTTAATGTAGGCGATCCGTGAGTTGAACGCTGATGAGAGACAGGCACGCCCCCCAGAAGTTCCTCAGCTCGTCATCCAAGAGCAGGGAGAGAGGATCCACCCCAAGCCCTTCATTCCCCTCCTCGGGTTTGCTTCATCCTCATGCTTAATCTTGGTCGCTCAACGCCCTCAGGCCTCTTCTCAACTTCGGACAGTGGGGCATCGTGATGCGATCAGACAAGGTCTTGCATCACGCTTCACCACCATCTTCTCACCCTCATGCGCAGAGAAGGCATGCAGATCTGTCGAAAGACGGTCCAGCAAGAGGCGGCGGAGCATCAGGCAGTGCAGCAGGTGCGGGGGTCAAAGCTAGTGTGCTGGTTGTAAGACAGTCGCAAGGGGATCAGAGTCGGACGAAGCAGAGGGAGCGACTGAAGCCTCGAACAGCGGAAGAGGTCGCTGTGACTGACATGCTGCTGCTCGCTCACGAGGAGACGCAGGCGTGGAACTTGCACGTAGCGATGCGGAAGAGCTTGGAAGTGTCGTGATTCTCAGCCGCAATATTTAACTTATTCTTTTAGTCTCCCTGACAACCCTGTATCCTTTCTTCTTTGCATAGCAACATCCGAGATAAAGCCATATACACATCTGTATGAAAACACCGAATATTCACAAGCCATACACATCTGTATGAATACACCGAATATTCATAAGCCATATACACATCTGTATGAAAACACCGAATATTTACATCTTGAGTCCTCGCTGTCACTCAGCGTGCTCGACGTGCGGCGGGTGGGCACCGACTTCGACTTGATTCGCGCGCTTCTGCTGGATCCTCTTGATCTTCTCGACGACGCGCTCAGAGTAGCCAACCTCCTGCATGTCGGTCAGCAGGCAGCAGGGCACAAGAAAGCCTAACCATGACATAACGCTTGACCTCCTCCGACGTCATCGCAAACGTTGAATCCCGCGGGGTGTCGATGTCCTTGAGCGTCGGATACGTCGGGATCTGAATCTTGTTCCTCTTGCTCTGGACGTCGAACTTGGGGCCTGTGATGAAGTTGATCTGTTTTGACGTCAGACAGCAGCAGCAGGAGGACGACGACGAGGAGGAGGAGGAGGAGGAAGAGGAGGAGGACGAGGACGAGGAGGAGGAGGAAGAGGAGGAGTAGGAGTAGGAGTAGGAGTAGGAGTAGGAGTAGGAGTAGGAGTAGGAGTAGAAGGAGGAGGAGGAGGATGAGCAGGAGGATCTGCGCCACCTCCTTGTCCATCTTCGACTCCACCCGCCCGATTGAGCGTCTTGGAGATCGTCGGAGGCCCTCGACGTTGATCTCTGCCGTCTCAGTCACGCTGATTCCTCCGATCAAGTCAAGTCACGAAAGAACCTTGTGAGCCTCGACGGCCCGTGGGATGGTGGGGGGACCGGAGCATGGCCTTGACTCCGGCCTTCCAGGCCCCCCGGAGCTTCTGCGAGCTCTTGTCGACCCGCGGGGATGGCGCGATGAGAGACTGCGGGATGAACTTCAACCTCTGAGCGATGGTGAGCAGCCGCAGCGATTGCATTTCAACCTGTACAGCTGTGAGAAAGGAGGGAAGGGGAGGAAGGAGGAGGAAGGAGGAGGAAGGAGAAGGGAGGAGAAGGGAGGAGGAAGAGGAGGAGGATGGGAGAAGAGGGAAGAGGAGGAGGATGGGAGAAGAGGGAAGAGGAGGAGGGGAGAGGGGCATCGTAACATTTTGGAGGTCATTGATGAGGTTGAGCCCTTGCTGAGCCTCGTCGAGGTCGAAGAGTTCTTCATAGATGGTCTTTCTTCTCGGGTCATACTTGGGAGTGTTCTGTAGGTATTTCAAAGCCCGTCTTCTCACACTCTCCGTCTGCCTACCGTTGAAGTCACTGTATGAATCCTCTCAGAGCCCGATTTCTCTTTCATCCTTGAGATTCTCCACAAGTTTGACCTCACCAGGTCCCATCTGCATCAGATGAAAGTGTTTGAATGTGACGTGCGCACTAGTCACGCTCACTCACCTCTTTCTTGCCTCTTTGAACCTTTCAAGAGGAGGACAACGTGACATCCGTGACTTGACCCGTAGAAGTATCATCGACAGTTTGCGGATGGTCTCTGCTTGTCCTTGGATTTTCTTCTCGTACTCATCGGATCTAGTCTCTGTGCTGGAGATTTCTCTGCTTAGCGGATGAGACTTGTGACGTCGCAATTCTCCCTCCTCCTGCATTGTCTGAGCGTCGTGTATCAACGTCGCTGTTTCTTCTCGGATGGTATCAGCATCGTTCTTCAAGGCTTCTAGATACTTCCTAGATGGAAGTCAGCTTGATGATCAAGGCAATGATTCAGAGACCTGCTCCGAGATATCTGCTCCTCTTTGGCAAGAAACTTGCTGAGCAGTTCTTGGATATCCCAAACGCTCGAGCTGCAGCAGGGCATGTCAGCGGGGTCGCCTGGATTTCAAACTTCACCTATGCATCAGCTTGTCGAACGCTTCCACGAACTCTTGTTTCCTTTTCTGCATCATTTCCCGCACCTGACGTGAAACGCTGGATGATCAAAAAAGTTCGTCTCCTCCATCTCTTGCAAACCTCTTCGGCATCGTCGTTCATGTTGCTAGCCCGAGCCTGTGCCTCCAACAATTCTCTTTGATATGTTTCTTGCCTCTCCTGATCGCATGTTGGTTCACAATTCAGCACAGCAACATTCAAACTTAAGACCGTGATCAGCTGATTGTAATACTCCATCCTGTTTGCAAGGTCCTGCATCTTTGCCCGATGTTCTTCAGCTTCGAGACCAGCTTCTGCGATCCTTTCGCTGGCTAAGAGCTGATAGTGACTTCTTTCTTTGTAAAACTTGTTTGCGATATTGATGAGTTTGACTGCTTCCTTGTTTCTGCCCTCAATCGTCTTTTGCCTATAATCGTTTAGATCCGTGAGACAATCATCGCAAGCAGGAATACCTTGAAGTAATTTTCAAGTCAAGATATTCTTTCTCGCGCTTTAGCTCCTCCATGTCCAGTTTAAGTTTCGAAACCTCGGAATTTTCCTCGTCTTGCAAACGTCAGTCGCCTCCAACACATTCTGATAAATGGTACAGCATACCACATTTCGTTAAAGTAAAGTGCAGATTCTCCTCTAATCGGTTGGAAATCTTGACGAAACGAAGTCCTGACGTCGCTTCTTTTGACTTGAGAACAGAACATGTCAGAGACATTGAGAAGGAGCTGCACGCTTCACCTGTCCTTGCCTTGCCGCGACCTGATGCGTCAGAGAGCGAAACTGCTTCTTGATCGCGTTGAGAGTTTGCAGGTCCTTCTCGATCTCTTCTTCGACCGCAAACTTGAGGTTCATCCAGTACTCGCGCGCGTCTGCCTCAGACTTGGTGTTGGTCTTGTCATCCTGCCACACATGAGACAAGAAGCGACCTGGCTACCAAGCACCTGATTCTTCAAGAGCTCCTGCTGTTGTGCCCTCAGCAAGGAGTTCTCGGATCGAAGCTTTGCTATCAGCTCTCGCTGTCGCTGGATCTCTCTCTGAGATTGCTGGAGCAGCTTCTTGTTTTCGCGGTTCTACAAACATCGTCAGCTTGTCGACATACGTGTCACTTTCTACTCTGATCGCTGAAATCCTCAGGTCCCGCTTGCCGTCGTTCTGCACCCAATTCCATGGCACCGCAATTTCAACCCCCGACCGAGCATCTTGAAACCTAGTCAGAAGACAGGAACGACAGCGAGACAAGCACCGTTCTTGTCCTCATCTGCATCCGACTGCGGCTTGACGCTTCGCTTCACTGCATGGATCGGCTGCAGTCTGGTGCTCACAGGGTCTTGAAAGAGCATAAGTCTGCATGACTTCACATGGCATGTACCACCTGGAGTCTGCGAACCGATGGGAGACAGCTTACTTACTCTTCTCCGCATGGCTGGCAGAGCGCTCTCTAGGGAAAACCGGCTCTGAGCCTGAGCAGAGGTCTTGCCCTCCATCCGAACGCTTCGTCTTCAGCGGTTCTATCCTGCTAGGACTCATCGCCATAATTTCGTGAGCCATCGCGCTCGGGTGTATGTCAGCAAGTCATGGCGTCCAAGAGAGCGCGTCGTCTCCTCTGTTTTCTCAGACATCACGGGATGACTTGCAACTCTTGCTTCGACCTGCTCCCCAAGATGAGCACCATCGGTCTGCCTCCAGGAAAGCTCCTCAGCTCTTACAGCCTTCTTTCATACTAGGTCCTATGCTCTCCTCTCTTACTGGCGACAGGCAATCTAGTCACCTCAATTCTCACTTTCGGTCATCGTACAGTCACTTGCTCTCAGCCTCACTATTTGTTTTCTGCTCATTCTCTCTCGCTCTTCACCTCATCATCGGCCAGAGTCACAAGTATGCAACCATCTCCTCACAGTTTCCCTCAGTCTCGCGCATCTTCGACCTGTACTTGGCTATCAACGCCATCTACATGCCAAACCGTCGTTACTGCCACATCCCCGCCAATGACCAAAAGGCTCGATGACCTCTTCCACCTGCTCTTCCCCCAAGTTGCCCGGCACTGTGACTGCCTTCGGTGATACTCGTGTGATGGAGGTAGTTTTGTGATGCTGTCTTTTTGGTCGTCTAATAAATATAGTGAGGCGGGCTCTCTTTTATGTTTTTTTTAAAAAGGGGAGAAGCGCCTACCGACCAGGCGATGCAGAGCTATAAACGAGTTTGGGGACCAAGATGGAGAGACAAGAGGACAGGATCGGACTGGAGGCAGGGACAGGAGGAGAGGAGAGACAAGTTGACAAAGACGAAGATGGGAATGATGGGAGTTCGCAGATCAGACGGGAAAATTTAGGTTGAACCAGAGCATTCTGGATTTACAATTTTCGACCAACAAACTCTTACAAGAACGATGAAAGACGGCTGGAGGGGTAAAGGCGCTTGGAACAAGAAAGAAATTAGCAAGGAAAAGGAAAAGGAAGACGATGGATTAAGTGATGACTTTGAGTTGGTGCTGGCTCCTTCAGCTGATGTGGACGCCGACTCTTTGCCGCTCTCTGAGTTTGAGCAGTGCGTGGTAGGAAAAGCTTGCAGAGATTGGGTCAAAGACAGTACTAGCATAGTTGTGAACAAGTTTTTTGAGATGAAGATTGAAAACGAGGAAGAGGAGACAGAATTTTTCTTGCGCTGGAAAACCTTGATGGGTCTCAATGTACTCGAGAACGAACCCGGCATAGTTCGCAAGAAATTGTCGGTAAGTTGTTGGATGTTTGTAGGAGCGCACTGATGGGTTGCTATGGAGATCTTGCTGTACAAGGGATGTCCAGATGCGTTCAGAAGAGACACTTGGTTGAGCATCTCAGGAAGCAAGAAGAAGTTTGTTAAGAATCAGTCGCGAGTGCTTGCCGAATGGTGCAGGTAAATAGCATTCGACTTTTCTTGTCTCATTCTTTTGTAGCCTTCAAGATCGAGCAAATGAGGGCACAAGTCACCGACAGATTGCAAAACCGCCGCTGTTTGGCGGCAATCTTGATTTCTCTCATCATTGTCTCAATGAAAGTGGAAAGTCTTGCTGCCATTACCTATTGGCAGCGATCGACATGTCAAGACCAGATTTGCACCATTTTTCACCTCAAATACCTAATTTGGTCTCTCTTGCATTGCTCTACATGTCTTCTGAAGAAGTCTGTAAGCTATCATGCTGTCTATCGCCTTGCGCGGTTTGGATTGATTGCGTTCCTGCAGGTATTTTTGTTGATTGCTTAACGTCATGCACGGATGTACCAAAAGGCCAGGGAAACGTTTTAGACAAAGTCCTGCTAGACAATTTGCAATCTATGTCTTTTGTGATGCGAGCTGTTGACCTCAAGCTCAAAGCTTGTACGACCGCTACGTAATCTTCAGATGAAGTAACGTCACGGTGACAGGTGACCCAGAAGTTTGGACGAAGCTGCAGGATCTCGGCTTGTCGAAACTCAAGGTTCAAATGAAGTGTAAGGGTGTTCTCGACTTAATGTGATCCTGTTATCCTCTTTGTCACAGTTTTGTGAAGAATGGATCAAAGATCTGTTTGTGAGCCATTGCCATCTCCATGTCGTTTTGCGAATTCTAGATATTCTCTTATCAGGTCATTGACAAATTGCCCTCTTGGCACAATGTCTGACCTTGGTAACGTAGAAGGAAACATGCGAAGTCTCATCCGAGTGTCTGTCGCATTCTTGCGAATATGTCGCAAATCTATCTTGTCCTCTGTCACTTGGGAGGAAGCCGAGCAGGCACATGCAGTTTGGCACCAGTACCTCACATTGACTTACAGTGATTGCAGGAGCTGAGGGAGAAGCTTTGTGAGTTTCGGGATGTCAATCTTTTGATGAAGTTGGTCCATGAGATGGTGCAAGCGGCACCTGTCAAAGTTCTTGATGTCCAGGTTCTTCCTGGTAGGGTTGCTCTCGAATGAATGTTCAATAGGCGGCAATGGGCGACGAATTTGCCACGTCACTTGTTCACGGTGATACTCAAGACTCAGAAGCCGTTGATGAATGCATCACGTATTATCTGCCGAAGATTTCGAGCCAGCCAGCCATCCAATGCATCCTAAATGAAGAGCAGCTCCAAACCTTATGGAATTGGATGCCTGCACGGGAAAGGATTCGCGACGGTCACATTGTTTTCTGCACATCAAGTGAGCCTTTCGACTCGACTGATTCTTTTTCACTCTGCCTTCCAACAGGAGATGGACGAAGTCTCTCAACATTGTATCGCAAGGTGGAGGAGGAATGGAGCGGGAGAGACGAGAAGGGGCTAGCTGCTGCTCCCCAGTGCCTAGTGCTGATCAGCACACTCTCTGGAGAGCTCTTCGGCTCCTACCTCACGCAGTGGCTGCGGGTGACAAGCAGTGGAGTGTTGGGGACAGGAGAGAGTTTCATCTTCAGGTGCATGACGATGCCTCGACTTCTTATCATTCTTGACGATCCTTCAGCTTCACTCCATCCTGCCAGAAATTCCGATGGAATCCTGGGCAGGATACAAACTTCCTGACGAGCCGAATAGACTTCTTCTCCATCGGAGGCGAAGCGATCTACATAGACAAGTACCTCGAAAGGGGCTCGTCAAGCTACAGCCCCACCTTTCGGAGTCCCTGCCTGCTACTGGATGTGAGCGGCAACTCAGCGGATGCGGCGCCGCCGTCTGACAATGACGAGCCGTGGCGACGACGAGAGTTCGAGATCAAGACATTGCAGATCGTTCGCCTTGTCTGAGGTGATTTCAGATCAGTGAGGTGAGCCTGGGCCGCCGGACTTCCGACCGGGGCCCGGGGGGGCCTGCCGCCCGGTCGGGGGTCGGACGGTCGCCGAACAGTGACGGACTAGTCGGAGCCTCCGGAGTTTTTCAATTTTAAAATTTTAAAAAGATGCGTCTGATCAAATCCACCCCACCCACTATACCAAAATCACCTCTTCGCATGCTCTCACGTTTTACACCCCCTTATCTCATAGTAAATCACCCCCTTGGATATCAAGCCACAGACCCAGTTTCTGGGAATACCCCAGGTTTTATATTACCCCCACCCCCTGACCCCCTGTACTGTACATCGTTTTAACTCCGCTCCCATTTCGCTCGCCTGTCACCATCCGTTCGTCTCCTCATTTCAAGCAACTCGTGACCCTCCCTCCCTCGCTTCCTCCTTCCCTCCCTCCCTCCCTCGCTTCCTCCTTCCCTCCCTCCCTCACTCCCTCCCTCGCTCCCTTCCCACCCACCCTTGTCGCTGTTTCGCTTTTCTCGGCAATAGCATATGAGATTTCCAATGCCAGAAAAGTCCGCTTCTCCAGGAATGGTTGTATCACATCTTCGAATCAAAGCCTGATAAGCTCCAGCTTCGTAACCATTCACTGAAGACAGAGCTCAAGATGTTCTCTAGGGTGCAATACAATTTCAGGGCTACATGCTCTCCACTTCTTTCTGGATTCTATCTCTACGTTGTATTGGCTTCCCATTCTGCTTCGAGTTTTTCTTCGACACCTGGTTTTCCTCAAGGGAAGTTGTTCGCTTCAAGGCTCGTAGAGAGGAGATCCAAACTATGTACTCCATACACGGATTCGAGGACGAAGATGGGTGTCATCATGCGGCAGCATGATGGGTCAGGCTCAACTTCGAATTGGGACCTTGCTTGGAAGGTCTATCTGCTGGAAAGGACCATGTCTTTGAGCGTAGAAGTGAGTGCGTTGCTCTGATCTATCCAAGTGTTTTTTTACTTGTTTACAGCTGAATCATCCCAATGCGTCGCCTTATCTCTCGAGTGAAACTGAAAACAAGAGATCTCTGTCCCCGCAAATTTCAGATAGAGTCTACAACATCAAAATCCCACCAATTTATGCAAATCTTAACGAACTCAACAACTTATTGAGGGGTATGTTGTTGATTTTAATGTGACTCACTGACCTTAGAACAGGACGATGCCTGTACAGTAGGATGATAGCAAAGGAGAGGTTGTTCCTCGTCATCCAGGCCGACAGGGCGCGTCAGGAAAGGTCTCCTCTCCGTCCTGTTCCTCTGGCAGCCATAGCAAGTCGCTCCCTGCTCCGAGAATTGATCAGAACGTCTCATTTAGACCTGAAAGCATCTGAGATAGATACTGTGCAGAGGACCAAAAGCGGAAGAATTTTTTATTGGGGAAGCATCATTTTGAGAAGAATCACTCCATTCATCTTGTTAATTTTGGGTGCAAACCTCTTTCCATTCAGATGGTGGACATTTTAGTCTCAATGAGAGTGACATTGTAAAATCGTTCAAATCTCGTTACATGTGCATTGTGAATGGAGAGTGTTCCAATGCATCATTTGAGGTGAAATTTTGTTTCATACCAGAATACATTCCCTAGCTAGAAGCAGGTTCTGGTCGCTTGTGAATGAAGCCCATCTTTCGAAGCCCCTCGAGAATTCCACGCGCATGTCCTTCCCTGTTGATTTCTCAGGCAGCAAGAAGCCACAAGGGTTGGCTTACTTGGCCTTGTACAGTCGCTCACCAGCGTCTTGCTTCTCGAGCCAGTCGAGGAGGCCGTTCTGGGCGTTGCCAACAATGATTCCCCGTTCTTCTCCGGAGAGCCTGGGGCGAGTGAGTCACTTCAGCTGTTTCTTCCAGGCATCTTGATGTCACTAGTACATCAGAATATCGTTGCCGCTGTCTCCACACGCCACCTGATATCATAATTACCATCGGATTCACGGCAGAATGCTCGACGTACTGTTTCCTCGGCTGAATATCCTAGCTTGTTTCGTACGTAGACCGTGGCTTCTAGCTTACCAGCACCCTCACACACCTTGCAATTGTCAGGAAAGCGGAAAAAACCATCGCACGCACGACATACAACGTCCAAATAATTCCAGTCACCATGTCCGCTTGCAATGAACTGAGCTTTCTTGCCCCCAGCCTCAACGGCTTTCTTGAGTTCTTGAGTGATAGAAGTCTCACTAAAATTTAGAGATCATAAATGTGCATACCTGCTATCACCTCTTCTATGTGTACCGTTTGGACACCAAAAACTACCTTGAACGCATTTTGTTCCTGGAAACCAGTGTTAGTCCAGAGCCTTTCTACTGGGCAGCATTCTACATCCTCTGGGCGAAAATGCATCCATTCCTTCTCTAAGAAGGGCTTTGCAGCGTCACAAACAATTTGCCGATCCCAAGTACCAGACGACAAGAGCTTCGACTCCCATCTGCACCAAATTTATCAGGATTGGAAACAAGGCATCTTCCGTATCAAAAATGTATCTCCACATCTGGAAAATATTTCCACATCATTGAGGCATCTCCATATCAGTATTCCGTATAAATAAAGCATTCCAACACCAATCATACCCAGTATCCGCTTTGTGAGTTCCATCAGAATCTAGCCTACGCATGGTGAGCACAATTTGTATATATGGACACTGCCAACTCACCACCACACCTCTGTTCCGACCGAAGTAATGATCGCGCTGGGATTCAGCATTTTCTGGTGAAGACTCTCTGAGCAACAAAAGCAACAGCAGGAGGAATGTCACAACGCACACCTCTTTTGCGATCAAAGCTTTTGTAGATTGCACGGATCTACCAGTATTGTACACAAGTGCCTGCGGAGATTAGGTTGATAAGCCAGGCAATCTTGACAAACAAACAAGCAGAGCTGATCGCTTGTTTACCGAGTTACGATGAACACATTGCCGTTCCCTGTATGATTTGTCAAGCATGTTGCAACGTCTGTAATGATTATTTGTAATGATTATTTTACCATTCATCATTGAACTCTTGTAGCGCCTTCTCGTCACCAACAAGGGTTCCATCAAGGTCGCACACCAGCAACACACCTGGGAGATTATGATACACCTCCGTCAAGATGCCATCTTTCAAGCAGAAGTGTCCCGGTCCGTCAACTTTGTAATATCTTCCTTTCTCTCGCTCAGGGCCTGAGTCCCATTCGCCTTCTCCATTGTGCAGCACAAAACAGAAAGGAGTGACGACGTTTGACACGGTGAGATAGCGCCAGTTGTGGCCGACATGGCTGTTCAAAGTCATCTCATGATCCTCTTCTTCCTCGTCGCTTCGCCGCGGCAATGCAGCCTTTAGCGTCCATTTCTCTCCTCCGTCACGCGAGAAATGCATAAGCACCCGTTTCCACTCCGACTGATAATGCAAACGGAGACAGTGCGGATCCGTCGCAGCATGCTATGGAGATTGCAGAACATGAAGACAAGATCGAAAGATTAGTGGACTCGCATTCACAGAAGGCACAGGGTAACTTACATCATGACATCCTCCTTGGATCCGTCCGCTCTGTCCTCCTCCTCGGAGTGTGATGGAGAGACCTATGCGAAAGAGGAGTCAATGAGGAAAACCTGCGACTTTCTGTGCCCATCTATTCCTTCAGCTCTTCTAGGAAGAGACTAGCTTTCTTCTGTCATGGATTTCAACAATGTTCGCCCCTTCTGTCTGTTACACGAACGAGATCCCGTCCCATACAGCCCTTCCGTCCCATCGTCCCTGCATCTCTACTGTCCGTTGACACTCGACTTTCAGTGTCGCCATAGTCTCAATCCCAGCCTAATGTCTCCTCCTCCCTCCTCACCTCCCATCTTCGCTCCTCCTGCAGCCGCAGCCTCCACCGTCAACCCCATCGCCACCAGGCAAAGAAGCGCCTGCATCCCTGCGCCTCCCTCTCACTTTCACTACTCCCCAATGTATTTCAAATGTTTGTTAGAATATTGAAATATCAAAAACTCTTTGAGACTTGAGTCCGAAAATCGCAGTCAATCGCTTTCACACATCCAGGCTGCCAGTGAAAACTCCGAGGTATGTGATGGCGAGGGCGAAATCTTGGTGCAAGCTACCTGTGATGCTTAGGATCACGCCCACTCTCTTGATCCTCCTTCTTCCTTCATGTCTTGCATTTCCAGTCTACAGAGAGACCGAGAAAGACTCCCTAGTCGCGGTTTGTGTCATCAGCGACGCCCGGGAGGTCGCGGGACTGAAAGTTGCTCTCTCAACCATCTTGTCCGCTAAAGTGTGGCAACTTTCTCTCTTGTGCGATGATCTCATAATCCATGCAGATAAAAAATGTTCAAATCTTCACGTTGGAGTGGATAGAAAATGCCATCGCCGAGTCCATCGGCGCAATGATCACCTTGTTTGGCACAGAGAGCGTCAGGATCGTCAGGATGCCCAACGAATACTTGACGCATCATGGATACTCGATGCTCCTCAAGGACGAGAAATTTTGGTGGGCGTGTGATGGAGAGTGGGTGCTCATCTTCCAGGTGAGAGCTGCTGCTACTCGCTGGCGTCTGACTACCTCAGGCGGACTCGATCCTCTGCCTTGGGTCAGACGCGCGCTTAGATGAGTTCATGCTGTACGATTATATCGGCGCTCCGTTCCTTCCCGGAGAATGTCCGAGTGGACATGACAAGGACCGCTCGATGTGTCAGGACGACTTCGATAAGATGGCTACGCATGCGGGCCTCAAGGTTGACTCGCTTGTTTCTCCCGCCTTGTCACACGTGATGGAAGATCCCGGAGGGCGTGGGTGGCAATGGAGGATTTTCGCTGAGGAGAAGATCGAAGATGATAGAGATGTGCCAGGTAAGCGCAAAGGAGCTCCTGCGGGAGGAAAGCTGATGACACAAAGAAGACGTGTGGGAGTTCACATCCTTTCTACTCCTGGAACGAAGACATCTTCTTCAGCTATCCATGCGACAACGTCACTCTCAGACTCCCTTCTGAACCCGTTGGTGAGTTGTTCGTCTTCTTCTCTCTCAAACCGTTGTGTTCTCCACTCTCCTCTCGTCTGCTATCCGTCTCCATCTTTCTCCATCTTTGTTTGACTTCCTTCTGTTAGCAAGGAGATTCAGCGTGGAAACGGGTGAGAGTGAACATCTTCTGTGAAGAGGTGAGGCATTGCACAGGGCTATTCCATCCAGCTCCTTATGGGATCCACAAAGTTTGGGTCTACCGCAATGAGACAGAGCTCGTGAAACTCGCAGCGGCTTGTCGGGAGCTTCTACTGTTGATTCCAAACTGATATGACAGCAATGAAGTCTGTGCAAGAAGCGATTGTAAGATAAGTTTGCAAGGAATTGTAAGATAGGAATTGAGCATATGGCAATTCTGATCTAATTCGTTGCCCTTCGTGTCGTATGCACCCCTTTGGCTTGCCTCCCATTTCAATCTTCTTGGGCGAAGAGAGGATTCTTCATGAAAGTTCCGTCCTTGCGCCATCTTTTGCTCCCCTCTGTCTCGATCTGCGAGATAGTACAGTCACAATAGTGAAGTGAAAGGGGTTCTCCCTACATATTTCTTGTTAGGATCGTAAGGTTGCCATCCCTCCTCCGTTAACACTTCGAGGATTGTGCCCTGAATTTGACTTTATACGGGGGAGATGCAAGAAATAGACAGCAACCTTGACACGATCCTGCACGATGATTCCCTGCTCTGTCACCATGAACGCAAGGTTCGCACAGTACCTGAGCATAATTATGACCTATTCCAACCATGCTCCACCTACGGGTCCCGATCCAACTTGCTCTGGATCGCTTCCTCGTAAGCACGACGAGGGATGTTTCCTTTCTCGGCAACCAGATCCTGACAGAGGCAAGTGATATGAGTGGAGAGATTGCGTCGCATCCTTCTCACCTTGAGATACTTCAGGTCATCTTCGCTTGTCCGCCCTTTTGTGCTGAGTGTTCCAGACCCGCGCATGTAGCTCAGAGGAGGCTCCTCACCCCAGCCCTTTGCCGTCATTTGCAGCCCCTCTCTGAATGAAGGCAATGCATGTATCAAGTTGAGGACCAACGAAGAAGTGCGGAAGGAGGTAGCGCAAAGGAGGGAGAGAAAACGGACCTGCAGTTCGTTCTCTTTGTCGAAGGCTTCTGAATGTCCCATCGGTAGGATCCAGCAGGGACGATGCCATAGTCTCCTTCCTGATACTCCACTGCTTCACCTGTCGGTACTCCTGCACAGTATGGATGAGTCTGTGATGTAAGGGCCTGGGATCACCATTGATGGTGACGGGGATGATTGCAACCCTTCCCTTCATGAGCTGGAACGTTTCTGGCGAGTCCAAGTACATTGTTGTCTGTTGCCTGCATATCTCCTCAGAGAAGAAGCATCCAAGGCAACTTACGGCACACTGCTCCACATGCCGCAGTTCTCCAACGCTTTCTCTAGTTTCTCACTGTCTTGACTGTCAGCCCGAAACAGCTGAAATGGTTGGATTAGAAGCTATGCACACCACAGGGTGGACATGCCTGGGGAGGCTCAGCTTTCATCATGCAGGTGGAAAGACGAGGAGGCTTGCTCGAATGAAGATTGAGTTTCTGACCGATCAAAGAATGGGGGGAAGTAGAGGTAAAACCTCTTTGAAGAAGAAATCCGTCTACGGGGAAACAGAGAAGCAGTATCGTGCAGACTGCAAGGTGACGGTGACCAACCATGATCTGATATGAAGAAGAAGAGATCAGTTTAACCGCGAAAACAAAAAAACTCCACTGCCAGTTTTCTACGCCTCCCCCCTCCCCCCCCTTCTTCCATTCATCTCATCTGTATCATCCTCCATTCCTACATGTCTCTTCATCTTGTTCTTCTGTGTTGCTCTCACCCTCCGAACCCCCGCTGAATTCACATCTGTTTTCTCGTAACACGTCCCAATTTATTGACACCCCTACATGCAATACCAATTAATTTATTACGGACAGGTGTATCCCTCAAGATACACTGGGGTATCTATGAGAGGGAATGGCTAGCGTCTTTACAGACTGCAGACTTGCCCGCTCAGCAACTATCTGCAGAGGTTCATCTTCAAGCTCATCTACTTGCCGACCGGCGTGGAGAGTAAGTTTGCCACCCTCTCGATTGTCAGCTACATCGTCTAGAATGGCTTCTTCACCATCAAGTCGTTCATGGCGTCGTGCGAGGGCAAGGTGGATATCATGGTCCCATGCATGTGCTGCCCGATCAGGAACCTCCCGACCTCCAACGCCAACGAGAAGGACTTTGACATGACCTTGGTGCATGACAACAAGAACTTCTCTATCTTGAAGAGGTTCGTGCCCTGCAAGACCATGTTCCCTTGACGACCGCATGCTCCTGGTGAGGCTGAACTCCATGGCGGAGGCCGAGTTTGAGGAGGAGTACAACATCTTCAATCAGATATGCTTCATCGTCTACATGTCTCACAAACATCAGATTACTTATGTGGACTACCTCTACGAGCCCATCAGGTTCCTTCTTGTGAGGTCGAGCAGGTATTGGACTATGCAGAAGTGCAAGAAGGTCAACGCCCAGTCCATCAAGATGCTCGAGCAGATCGTGGCGGCTTCCGACAAGGCGAGCGAGATCACAGACCAGCACAAGAAGCTTGCTAGGGACATCATCAAGTATGGCCTGTCCCACATTAAGAAGATCCATGCATCCTTGAACCTTCTGAACAGCAAGGCACTAAACAATGATCCCCTGACCAACGCCAACCAATGGTGCTGCCTTTGCCTCCCTACCCAGAGTTGCTGCCTCTGCAGGCACTTTGCCCATGTGGGCAGGGCCATGAATACGCTTAAGGCCAGCATGGGTAAGTTGGGTGGGATGTAGGGCACTGTCGTCGCGTCTATGATGAGGTGCTGTGCTTGAAGCATCTGTGAAGCTTGTTCTTGCATTCCTGCTGTCGATCCGAACATGAACAGCCCCTGCCGGCTCTCTCCATGATGATCCTGGGCCACTGGTCCCTCGGATCCCTGGGCATCTGCCTGCGCCACATCCTGGGATACCTCATTGAGACATACCAGCCAAGCGTCGTAATGTTACAGGAGGTCCTGGTAGGGGGCAAGAGAAAGGAGACAGCTCTCCGAACGATGATCAAGAAGGAATGGGGATGCTACCGAGTGTTTATGACGAAAGGCACAGGGGACGCGAGAAAGGGTAAGAGTGACCTACGCCTTGTGAGGCTGGCGCATGCTGACCTTCTACCTCGCTCCCTCTCCTCGTCGAGCCACACCGCGGAAACAATCGATAGTTCCAAACATCTGATACATCATTCGGCATCAAACTTAGAGGTTTTTGCCACAATCAATGGCTAGCATTTCTTGATGTTTAGACTACTTCAAGATAGCAGTCTTGTCACTTTAAGGGAGTCTTTATTGAACTGAGTGTGCAATAAGTCCCTGCATGAGAAATTGGACCCTTGAGCAGGCGAAATTACCTTGTTTCCCTCGAAATGACATCTTGAAGATCAAAATTATTGTCACCGACTTAATTAAACCCGTTTTGCTTGTTGAGAATGCACATCATTCTGAGGGGAATACTAAATTTTGAAAGTCATATGCACCCAGCCCAAAATTCGAGAAACTCTTCTACGATGACGGTTCCATCACTATGAGCGTGCAGGAAAATGTAGAGGGAGACAGCGACGTGGAAGAATAGGACGATGAAGGCACAAAAATTCCTAGCAAAACTTTCACTGCTGTAAAGTTGGTCTCTACATGCGGCTAGCAGCAAGCCTCTCCCTTTTCCAGCTAGATAGCTTGTCACCCACACCAGACGATCCGCAAGCGTTAAGAATATAAAAAAGAATTCGGATGCTCAGCTCGGATCCCTCGCGCTCCCAGCTGCTTTCCACCTGTTGATATCAATGGCTCACATCTCAAGAATACAGACAAAGCAGATCGCGGGCACCAGTAGGAGGCCAGTTGCTCGAGGTCGATGCCTCTCCAGGAAGTGCCGGGGTGCCAAGTGACTTCATCTGCAGCATGTTCAGTTCAGGAGGCCCAGGCATCAGACCACTCACATCCTTGTGCATCGATGAGTCCAGCTGAATCCGAGCTCCTGACACCTCATCATTCAAGCGACACAACTGAAACAAAGTTTGACGTACAGGCCAGGAGCGAAAAGAGCATACAGCACTAGGTTCGCGGCGAGACTGCTTCTTCTGAGTGCGAGCACTAGAGATCGGAGGATTTGATGAACGATCTCTGACCCATCTGACGATCGAGTCATCTGAACGTCCATCGACTCTAACTGCGCAAGAAGCATAGTCCCCGCAAACCCTAGGTCAACAGCTTTTGCGATGAACGGCCTATCCCTAACCGAGAAGTCAAGATATCGGTCATGTCAGGCACAGTCTTACCTAAATGAAGGGTCTTGTTTTGTTTGCTTGATGTACTCTCTGATGAAAACCATCTCGCCTAGGGCGTCATCCGGTTGATCTCCCATGACGCGTGGGATCCAGTCATCTAGCAGCTGGTGCATGCTCGCTTGCACGCCCGTCCTTCCCCTCAACGACGAGAGCCACTGCATTGGATTCGACAACACAACCAGTCTCGTCGCCTTGTGAATCGTCAGGGCTCACAAATGTGTCAGGGCGATGCTATTCACCTCTCCACTGGAATGCAGAAGGGCTGGCTTGAGCGAGTCCATGAGATGGTAGAGTCGAAGAAAACCATTGGGAACATCAGTCGATGATTCGCTGTTCTCTACACCAAAGTTGATCATGAACATTAATGGTGAGCAAGGGTAAGAACCTCTGGCTTTACAAGCGGAAACTCTGTTGCCCACAACAATGTAGTCTATCCTTCCGTATTTGGAACTTTCATCTTATAATCAGATGGGATGACCTCAAGATTTGATGTTTGACCTGAGTTGAGATCCAAATGATCTGATGGATCGTAAAGAGCAGAAATCTAGGGGCATGTTGTCCACCGTCCACGCCCATCTGTAAAAGCAACAAAGAGGTTGGATGTAGTTTTGCATCGAGACTTCCATTGACCTGCTGGAAGACGAAGAGCTTGCTAGTTCGTGCAGAGTGGGCAAGCAAGAATCTTCGTCTTGACATCCAAGAATGATAGAAGCGCCTAAATCCTTTCCAAGAGCATAAGAATGTCAATTCCATGCAACGCGTTGGACTCACCCGGAGTTGTCTGGTAACTTCCAATTCTATCCCCCCGTATCCATTCACAACAACAGCAACTCGGCCTCGTAACGTTTGGGTTGCTTGGTCTATTGGTTCTGACATCAGTGTCTAAATAGTCATGGCGAAACGTTTGATCACCTGCTGGTCTCCATAGCAATTCATAATCAAGAAGAACAATCTGGTGAATCGTCAAGCTGTTTAGCAACCAGAAGGAAATTCACATACCGAAAAAAACACAAAAAGACACATGGAGATCTCCAAGAGAATAAATCCTCCACAAGTTCGAGAGCCTCGCTTTCTCTTCCATAACATTACGAGACTAAAAGGTAAAACTTGTGCGTACCAAGACTTTCTGAAGCAAGTAAACCAAAGAAAACAACAAAACCTAGACCAAAAATCATGGGCAAGCAAAATCAGCCAGGGGAACAAAGGTAATGCGGAGTTTTGAATGAAATGGGCCCGGGCGCACGTCGTACCGTCGGACTGGTCCATTGCAACATCATGTAGGTCAATTGCTTCAGAGTCTCAGGAAGAAGGGCCAGAAAGTTGGGAAGACGTATGAAGATGAAGCACATGAAAATCTTCAAGCAAGTCAGCCTGTGAAATCAAGACAAGGACAAAGAAGTTCACCAAGAGTGAGAGACGTTCAAATGGATACAAGAAAAGCATGACAACGGAAGGGGGTCGCTCTTCTTCATTCGTTATCTGTACAGATGCCACTTCATCAACAATCAAGTAATCCTCTCGGTACCTTCTCTTCTATGCCAAAGCTCGCAGGATCCATCCTTTCCAATGTCACGGTGTATTCTTCTTTCCTTTCATAGTTGTATAATCGAAGAAAGCACTTCGAACCCATTCTCCCGGAAATAGCTTTCGCAATCGAGTCCAGGTGGTTCCCTTCAGCTAATTTCCGAACCTGTATACGAGCATTCAGTAATTTACACATTATTGCTTGTTCTTCACCGGAATAGGGTTACTTTGGCCGATTTCTGTGATTTCATCTCCGATTTTGATCTTACTTTCCTTGTCTGCTGGAGATCCTTTGGCGACATGTTTCACCCACACTCGATTCCCCTTTGCATCTTCACAGACGCTGGACATGTCTCGGAGAACAAGGATCAACCCGATGGAGCCGTTACCAGTTCCCGAAGAGTCATCCGCTTTAGAGCGAGAGTGCATCCCGCTTCCTTTGCCTTGCTCCTGCATGTTCTTACCAGGCATGACAGTCGTGTACTCAAAGAGGCTCCATATGTCCTGTACACAAATAAGAAAGCTTCATGACAATACAAGAGCCTGATTGAATCTACCCAGCCCGCACATCAATCTACCCATTTCATAATTTACAAGTGAAAAAAAATTCTTCTCAATTTGTGTATTCCTTAACCTCTCCATTTTTTTGTAGTTGCTTGGGACACCTTTCAAGTTATATATATGTCGTTTCACACCTGTTTTCACTTCATGGCGCATCTTGTCCTACATTCAGCTTGCCCCTTCTCTGCCCTCATCTTTCATCACAGAGCACTGCCTTGTTGACTCATCAAGAAACCAACCTCACCTCAGAGGGATTCTTTACTCAAAGTTTAGGTTTTGGGTTTAGGGTTTTGGGTTTTGGGTTTTGGGTTTAGGGTTTGGGGTTTAGGGTTTAGGAGGCGCCGTTATTTTCGGCAGCATGGCTCCCTGCCAGGTGTAGGGGAAGCCGCCAGGGCGCCAAGGAAGCTGCAAGCGAGAGGTTTGTATAGTTCCAATAGCTTTCTAAGTATGGTTCTTCAGTTTGATGAAAGTGTTCGCAACATGCTGTATCGGAGATCATGCCAATACACGCAGGGCGAGCTTGTGGATGCCGCGGTCCTCGAAGCTGATCTTGTCGAGAAAGTGAAGAGCTTCGCGAAACGTTTTCCTAACAGTAGGACAGCCCAGGCTTGCAAGGCTGTGGAGGGATGCACCCCCGACCGTACGCTGTCGCAGAAGCCATCCGCCGCGGATGGCCCGCGCTCGACATGTCAGCAGGCACGACGTGAGCTTCTACAAAAAGCAATGACTGGATGGAGTGACGCATCCAGAGAGTGGTTTATGCAGCAGATGGAGGAAGCCAAGAAGGAGAAGGTCGAGACATACACCGCCTCAGCAGGCAACGAGGTGACTTCCTTCATCTCCATGACTCTCCTGGGCATCTCCTCGGTGTATGTCAACCATGAAGAGAAGCTGAAGAAGAAATTCGAGGGTTTAGGGTTTAGGGTTTAGGGTTTAGGGTGTAGGGTTTAGGGTGTAGGGTTTAGGGTGTAGGGTTTAGGGTTTAGGAGCCGGCCCTTAGTAAGAGCAGCCGGCCCTTAGTAAGAGCAGCCGGCCCTTAGTAAGAGCAGCCGGCCCTTAGTAAGAGCAGCCGGCCCTTAGTAAGAGCAGCCGGCCCTTAGTAAGAGCAGCCGGCCCTTAGTAAGAGCAGCCGGCCCTTAGTAAGAGCAGCCGGCCCTTAGTAAGAGCAGCCGGCCCTTAGTAAGAGCAGCCGGCCCTTAGTAAGAGCAGCCGGCCCTTAGTAAGAGCAGCCGGCCCTTAGTAAGAGCAGCCGGCCCTTAGTAAGAGCAGCCGGCCCTTAGTAAGAGCAGCCGGCCCTTAGTAAGAGCAGCCGGCCCTTAGTAAGAGCAGCCGGCCCTTAGTAAGAGCAGCCGGCCCTTAGTAAGAGCATGCGGCCCTGCGGCGCGTAGGGAGAGCGCAAGGGGACCGGTGGAAGCTGCGAGCAAGAGGTTCATATAGTTCAAACAGCTTTCCAAGCATGGTACTACAGTATGATGAGAGCGTTCGCAACCTGCTGTATCGGAGATCATGCCAATACACGCAGGGTGAGCGCTCTGGAGGCCACGTCGAGGAGGCCGCCGACCTCGTCGAGAAGGTGAAGAACTTCACCAAGCGTTATCCGAATAGTCGGACAGCTTATGCTTGCAGAGCTGAGGGGGGATGCACTCCCGACGCTATCGCTGAAGCCATCCGCTCGACATGTCGGCAGGCGAGACGCGACCTGTTTGAAGACTCTCTGAGCGAATGGAGCTCAGAGTCGAAAGCATGGTTTATTCAACAGATGGAGGAGGCCAAGAAGCAGAATGTCGAGACATACATCGGCACCAAAGGCACCGAGGGGACCTCCTTCATCTCCATGACTCTCCTAGGGATTTCCTCGATGTTTGTTCGACAAGAAGAAAAGTTGAAAACGAAGCTTATGGAGCTAGGTCTCATGGTAGACTCAGTCGATGGAGTCGACAAGGCCATCATGTGGAAAGCACCTTACAGACCTGAGATAGCACGAGCAGACGACATCTCAGTCACCGTCTCCTTCCTTCGGAATGAAGCAGCCATAGAGCTATGGGAAGGCAGGAGAGAATACACTATCGAAGGGAGAGTCTTTCGAGCCACAGAGGTGAGCATAGCACACGACCGGTCCTTCAAGCTTCGAGCCAAGCGAGGACCTTGGGGCAAGGGAGGGAGCCTTGCCGAGCTATCACAGCTCCTAGCTCTCGGAGGAATGTCGACGGCCGAGATCGCTCAGATTTATCGATTTCAGCTGCTCTCGCAATCCGAGGCTTGCAGCCGCAGAGGTACAACCGCTTGCAGGCATGCTCGTGCAGGGTGCTGGGCAGAGAGGTCGCAAGGGGCCGAGCCCGAAGACGTATGTCGCTGTTGGGGCAAGTACGGGAACTCTCCAGCAAAAAGAGCTGGAGTGGGTGCTCAGCTCGCCTTCGACGGCAAGTTGCGAGCAGACCTTGGCCTCGTTCAGAGAGAGCGAGGCGATGGAGGGGGTGCATCTCACTCTCATCAGCGACGACGCCAAGCTCACGGGGAGACGTTTGCAGTCGAGCTCACAGCCGACACCTTCGTTCCTAGGGGAAAGATCGCTAAGCAGAGGAGGGCACTTCGCGAGAGAGATTTAGGGTTTAGAGGGTCTTGTTGGCAGCCTTGAGGGTTTAGGGTTTAGGGTTTAGGGTTTAGGGTTTAGGGTTTAGGGTTTAGGGTTTAGGAGCGCCGGTTATTTCAGGCAGCGCCGGTTATTTCAGGCAGCGCCGGTTATTTCAGGCAGCGCCGGTTATTTCAGGCAGCGCCGGTTATTTCAGGCAGCGCCGGTTATTTCAGGCAGCGCCGGTTATGGAAGACCACTGAAGTATATCAGAGGAGGGAGCAGAGCAGAAGCACGGCTGCCATAAGGGCCAGCCAAGTCGGGCCGCCGGTTATTTCAGGCAGCGCCGGTTATTTCAGGCAGCGCCGGTTATTTCAGGCAGCGCCGGTTATTTCAGGCAGCGCCGGTTATTTCAGGCAGCGCCGGTTATTTCAGGCAGCGCCGGTTATTTCAGGCAGCGCCGGTTATTTCAGGCAGCGCCGGTTATTTCAGGCAGCGCCGGTTATTTCAGGCAGCGCCGGTTATTTCAGGCAGCGCCGGTTATTTCAGGCAGCGCCGGTTATTTCAGGCAGCGCCGGTTATTTCAGGCAGCGCCGGTTATTTCAGGCACCATGGCTGCACGCGTGGTGTAGGGGAAGCTGCCAGGGCGCCAAGGAAGCTGCAAGCGAGAGGTTTGTATACTTCAAATAGCTTTCTAAGTATGGTTCTTCAGTATGATGAAAATGTTCGCAACCTGCTGTATCGGAGATCATGCCAATACACGCAGAGCGGACTTGTGGATGCCTCTGTCCTCGAAGCTGATCTCGTCGAGAGGGTGAAGAGCTTCGCGAAGCGTTATCCGAACAGCAGGACAGCCCAGGCTTGCAAGGCTGTGGAGGGATGCACCCCCGACGCTATCGCAGAAGCCATCCGCTCGACATGTCAGCAGGCACGACGTGAGCTTCTACAAGAAGCGATGACTGGATGGAGTGACGCATCCAGAGAGTGGTTTATGCAGCAGATTGAAGAAGCCAAGAAGGAGAAGGTCGAGACATACACCGCCTCAGCAGGCAACGAGGTGACTTCCTTCATCTCCATGACTCTCCTGGGCATCTCCTCGGTGTATGTCAACGATGAAGAAAAGCTGAAGAAGAAATTTGAAGAGATCGGACTGATCGTAGACTCAGTGCAAGAGAGTAAAGCAATCATGTGGAAGGCTCCGTATAGACCCGAGATAGCGAGTGCTGAGGAGATCCCGGTGACTGTTTCCTTCCTCCGCAATGCACAAGCGGAGAAGCTCTGGCAGGGAAGAGAGGACTTCGCGATCGATGGTCGCAAGTTCACAGCTGTACATGTGAGCATCGTGCACGATCGATCTTTCAAGATTCGAGCCAAGAGAGGACCCTGGGGCAAAGGGGGCAGCTTGGCAGAGCTGACTCACCTGCTAACCTTGGGCGGCATGACAACGGCTGAGATAGCTGCCGTCTATCGCTATCAGCTGCTGCGCCAGTCCCTTGCAGCGGTCCAACTCCAGCCGCTGGCAGGCATGCTGGTCGCTGGGGCGCCAGGCCAGCAAGTCCACAAAGGCTTAGGTCAGAAAGGCTTCGTCGCTGTAGGGGCCAACGTCATCTGGAGACAGAGGGAGGTGGAGTGGATCGTCTCCTCGAGCTGCCCAGAGGCGAATGATACAGCATTTCGAGCTTTCCGAGAGAGCGAAGCGATGGAGGGAGTACACCTGACTCTGTTCAGCGAGGACCCGAAGATCAGAGAGGCGCTCGCAGTCGAGTTGACAGCCGATCGCTTTGTGTCCAGAAATAAGTTGAAGAAGGCATCAAGGATGCAGAAGAAGGCAGGCGGCAAGGACGGCAAGGAGATCAAGATCATCATCAAGTCGACGGCGGCATCTGGTCGCTTCACGAGGAAGGAGATGGAGGGGCTGTGCAACGGCGGCAACACGTCTATCGCAAGAGTCAAGAGAGTCTTGTTGGAGATCGCTAACAGGCTCGAGATCAACGTTGAAGGCATCGACATGGAGGAGGATTTGAACACCAAGTCCTGGAACGGGTCCAAGCTATGCATCCTCCTCGGCTCCACGGAGGATGCTCGACGCATGATGAAGGAGCTGCCCTTCTATCTCGAAGGCGCAGCAACCAAGCTCGAAGCAGTCGGCTTCGACAAGGAGCCTGACTCTGAGGCGGCTGGTCAGCGGGGCACCAGCGACGCAGCGCAGCGACAGGAGGAGAGCGAGGGAGAGTGGCTGGAGTTTACAGACCTGGAGAGGATCACAATGGAGGCAGCATCTCCGTCAAGCCAAGAGGACATGCAGCTCGTCAGCGAGCTGTCAGCAGTCATCGAAGATGCAGCTTCTTTGAACGAGGCAGGGACGAGCGAGCCGATCAAGCTGGTCCTGGACAAGGCCGTTGGCAACCTCCACGACACCTTCTACTCTCCGGGGAGCCTGGAGTTCATGGCGCTGGGAGAGTGGGCGAAGATGCCAGAGGAGCAGGGAGTTGGGCGCAACGCGCTCAAGGAGAAGCTGGGGAAGTGGCTGCAGAGCAAGCGCTGGACTCGCGTGCAAGGAGAGAGCAAGAAGGCAAGGAGGGGCAGCGCGTTCTCGCCACGGGCAACGGCAGCTGCTGAGCTTGAGCAGGAGGCGGAGAGCGACGACATAGAGCGTCGATCTCTTAGCCTCCTGTTCATAGCAGGGTTTAGGGGCAGGGACGAGCGAGCCGATCAAGCTGGTCCTGGACAAGGCCGTTGGCAACCTCCACGACACGTTCTACTCTCCGGGGAGCCTGGAGTTCATGGCGCTGGGAGAGTGGGCGAAGATGCCAGAGGAGCAGGGAGTGGGACGCAACGCGCTCAAGGAGAAGCTGGGGAAGTGGCTGCAGAGCAAGCGCTGGACTCGCGTGCAAGGAGAGAGCAAGAAGGCAAGGAGGGGCAGCGCGTTCTCGCCACGGGCAACGGCAGCTGCTGAGCTTGAGCAGGAGGCGGAGAGCGACGACATAGAGCGTCGATCTCTTAGCCTCCTGTTCATAGCACTGAGTAAATTCGCAGAGATGCATGTGCTGGCCTGCTCGCTGAAGGTGGACAAGAAGGACCGACTGCGAGTGGAGATGAGGGAAGATGACGAAGAAGAGGAAGACATGGAGGAAGAGCAAGGCGAGGGCGAGGAAGAAGACGGGGCGAGCCCGTACCGAGCTTGAGCTGAGCCCAAGGTAAGGAGAGAAGGTAGGAGGCGACCGAAGGCCAAGGTGGCGACCGAAGGCCAAGGTGAGGAGAGGCAACTCTTCTGAATGGAGACGAGTAGGTGGCGACCGAAGGCCAAGGTGAGGAGAGGCAACTCTTCTGACTGAGGCTGAGGAAGCCAAGAGAAGACAGCAGAAGTAGAGAGTAGAAAGACGCCTCAGAAGCAGGGTTCGCATTGTAGGCCGTGTACTCCCAGTGCTCGAGCGCCTCTTTAGACTAGGATCCAATTGCACAAGCCCACAACGAGGCCTTGTAGGCCGTGTACTCCCAGTGCTCGAGCGCCTCTTTAGACTAGGATCAAATTGCAAAAGCCCACAACGAGGCCGAGCAACATTCTAGCATTCTAATAAACTCACATAATAATAATAATAGGGTTTAGGGTTTAGGGTTTAGGGTTTAGGGTTTAGGGTTTAGGGTTTAGGGTTTAGGGTTTAGGGTTTAGAGCGCCGGTTATTTCAGGCAGCGCCGGTTATTTCAGGCAAAAAGCGCCGGTTATTTCAGGCAAAAGCGCCAGCGCCGGTTATTTCAGGCAGCGCCGGTTATTTCAGGCAGCGCCGGTTATTTCAGGCAGCGCCGGTTATTTCAGGCAGCGCCGGTTATTTCAGGCAAGCGCCGGTTATTTCAGGCAAGCGCCGGTTATTTCAGGCAAGCGCCGGTTATTTCAGGCAAGCGCCGGTTATTTCAGGCAAGCGCCGGTTATTTCAGGCAAGCGCCGGTTATTTCAGGCAAGCGCCGGTTATTTCAGGCAAGCGCCGGTTATTTCAGGCAAGCGCCGGTTATTTCAGGCAAGCGCCGGTTATTTCAGGCAAGCGCCGGTTATTTCAGGCAGCGCCGGTTATTTCAGGCAGCGCCGGTTATTTCAGGCACCATGGCTGCACGCGTGGTGTAGGGGAAGCTGCCAGGGCGCCAAGGAAGCTGCAAGCGACAGGTTTGTATACTTCAAATAGCTTTCTAAGTATGGTTCTTCAGTATGATGAAAATGTTCGCAACCTGCTGTATCGGAGATCATGCCAATACACGCAGAGCGGACTTGTGGATGCCTCTGTCCTCGAAGCTGATCTCGTCGAGAGGGTGAAGAGCTTCGCGAAGCGTTATCCGAACAGCAGGACAGCCCAGGCTTGCAAGGCTGTGGAGGGATGCACCCCCGACGCTATCGCAGAAGCCATCCGCTCGACATGTCAGCAGGCACGACGTGAGCTTCTGCAAGAAGCGATGACTGGATGGAGTGACGCATCCAGAGAGTGGTTTATGCAGCAGATTGAAGAAGCCAAGAAGGAGAAGGTCGAGACATACACCGCCTCAGCAGGCAACGAGGTGACTTCCTTCATCTCCATGACTCTCCTGGGCATCTCCTCGGTGTATGTCAACCATGAAGAAAAGCTGAAGAAGAAATTTGAAGAGATCGGACTGATCGTAGACTCAGTGCAAGAGAGTAAAGCGATCATGTGGAAGGCTCCGTATAGACCCGAGATAGCGAGTGCTGAGGAGATCCCGGTGACTGTTTCCTTCCTCCGCAATGCACAAGCGGAGAAGCTCTGGCAGGGAAGAGAGGACTTCGCGATCGATGGTCGCAAGTTCACAGCTGTACATGTGAGCATCGTGCACGATCGATCTTTCAAGATTCGAGCCAAGAGAGGACCCTGGGGCAAAGGGGGCAGCTTGGCAGAGCTGACTCACCTGCTAACCTTGGGCGGCATGACAACGGCTGAGATAGCTGCCGTCTATCGCTATCAGCTGCTGCGCCAGTCCCTTGCAGCGGTCCAACTCCAGCCGCTGGCAGGCATGCTGGTCGCTGGGGCGCCAGGACAGCAAGTCCACAAAGGCTTAGGTCAGAAAGGCTTCATCGCTGTAGGGGCCAACGTCATCTGGAGACAGAGGGAGGTGGAGTGGATCGTCTCCTCGAGCTGCCCAGAGGCGAATGATACAGCATTTCGAGCTTTCCGAGAGAGCGAAGCGATGGAGGGAGTACACCTGACTCTGTTCAGCGAGGACCCGAAGATCAGAGAGGCGCTCGCAGTCGAGTTGACAGCTGATCGCTTTGTGTCCAGAAATAAGTTGAAGAAGGCATCAAGGATGCAGAAGAAGGCAGGCGGCAAGGACGGCAAGGAGATCAAGATCATCATCAAGTCGACGGCGGCATCTGGTCGCTTCACGAGGAAGGAGATGGAGGGGCTGTGCAACGGCGGCAACACGTCTATCGCAAGAGTCAAGAGAGTCTTGTTGGAGATCGCTAACAGGCTCGAGATCAACGTTGAAGGCATCGACATGGAGGAGGATTTGAACACCAAGTCCTGGAACGGGTCCAAGCTATGCATCCTCCTCGGCTCCACGGAGGATGCTCGACGCATGATGAAGGAGCTGCCCTTCTATCTCGAAGGCGCAGCAACCAAGCTCGAAGCAGTCGGCTTCGACAAGGAGCCTGACTCTGAGGCGGCTGGTCAGCGGGGCACCAGCGACGCAGCGCAGCGACAGGAGGAGAGCGAGGGAGAGTGGCTGGAGTTTACAGACCTGGAGAGGATCACAATGGAGGCAGCATCTCCGTCAAGCCAAGAGGACATGCAGCTCGTCAGCGAGCTGTCAGCAGTCATCGAAGATGCAGCTTCTTTGAACGAGGCAGGGACGAGCGAGCCGATCAAGCTGGTCCTGGACAAGGCCGTTGGCAACCTCCACGACACCTTCTACTCTCCGGGGAGCCTGGAGTTCATGGCGCTGGGAGAGTGGGCGAAGATGCCAGAGGAGCAGGGAGTGGGACGCAACGCGCTCAAGGAGAGGCTGGGGAAGTGGCTGCAGAGCAAGCGCTGGACTCGCGTGCAAGGAGAGAGCAAGAAGGCAAGGAGGGGCAGCGCGTTCTCGCCACGGGCAACGGCAGCTGCTGAGCTTGAGCAGGAGGCGGAGAGCGACGACATAGAGCGTCGATCTCTTAGCCTCCTGTTCATAGCACTGAGTAAATTCGCAGAGATGCATGTGCTGGCCTGCTCGCTGAAGGTGGACAAGAAGGACCGACTGCGAGTGGAGATGAGGGAAGATGACGAAGAAGAGGAAGACATGGAGGAAGAGCAAGGCGAGGGCGAGGAAGAAGACGGGGCGAGCCCGTACCGAGCTTGAGCTGAGCCCAAGGTAAGGAGAGAAGGTAGGAGGCGACCGAAGGCCAAGGTGAGGAGAGGCAACTCTCCTGACTGAAGCTGAGGAAGCTGAATGGAGGAGGAGTAGGTGGCGACCGAAGGCCAAGGTGAGGAGAGGCAACTCTCCTGACTGAGGCTGAGGAAGCTGAATGGAGGTAGAGTAGGTGGTGACCGAAGGCCAAGGTGAGGAGAGGCAACTCTCCTGACTGAGGCTGAGGAAGCCAAGAGAAGACAGCAGAAGTAGAGAGTAGAAAGACGCCTCAGAAGCAGGGTTCGCATTGTAGGCCGTGTACTCCCAGTGCTCGAGCGCCTCTTTAGACTAGGATCAAATTGCACAAGCCCACAACGAGGCCGAGCAACATTCTAGCATTCTAATAAACTCACATAATAATAATAATAATAATAATAATAGGGTTTA